CTGATGCGTGAAAACGTAACATTCTCTGCTCGTGTGAATTGTCAATAAATTTATTGACTTAGAGAAATGGAAGCATAAAAGTTTTGCATTTCAACTTGTAAAAGACTTGAATTCACGAGCATCTTGAGAAAAAATTCAGCCTTCCAAGCAAAATTGGACATGGAAAAAGGCCATCCACTCTTGTGATTTTGTGCAGAAAAGTGTTTTTTGCATTTCCATTTTTCACACATTCAAGCGTGAAAAGTAGCCTCCATGATCAATTCCTTTGTGAACCCAAGCCAAAATGGATTAATTGTAAATGAAAACAAGATTGGCGAATTTTAACTTCTTCCTTTTATTTCACCTTTTTACTTATGTCCAATAATGTCATGAATATTATACTAGTCAAATTCACATTTTAAGAATGTCTAAACTAGATTGGCGAATTCTCTAGTCTTTAAAGGATAACTACGCTTTAAGTGTCAAAAAACGAAGGTCGTAAACAATGATAATCGATCTATTAACTTATTCCTAGTTCTAAATGCCTATTGCTTTGCTCACAATATTATGGGATTTTTTATTTTATTATTTTGTTTATAATACAATGTACTATACGCTATGGAAATTTCACTATTAACAATGATTTTTTTCCTTTTTTTTTTTTTTGTGGTAAAGTCATTTTTGAGTTGTGTCATCAAAATCGATTGTTGGAAAAGATTTTCAGTCAAAATTCTTTGTCATCGAAAGTAAAAATTTTTGCAGTGATATATTGTCATTTTTTAAAATGGTGTATTGCATATGAAATATATTATGAGAGTATAAATAACTGCGTTTGTTGTAGTCACTCAAAACTAGTATTTAACGTTGTAAAATGGTACCTGATCTAGTAGAACGAAAAATAGATAAAAAATGGCTTAAATACGATTACATCCTCAAAAAAATAAAATAAAATAAAAATAAACACAAAGCTCTTAAGGCATCTTACATGACATTAGGTTAAAAAATTTTAAAAAAAAAGTATGGTTCTAGATTAATCACCTTGCATCCGTTAACGCACTTAGAGAATGTCTCAGTGTAACATTTATATATCTAGCACTCTAATTCAGTACTCTCAAATTAATTAATAAGTACTACTTCGCAAACAAATAAATTAATTTCATAGAATCTAGGGTTCCTATAAATTCGAGGGTCAACAATTTCCTAACACAAATGCATACAAAAATTGTTTGTGGACTAGTGTTCCAGAATTACCAATTTCAAAATAAGGTAGGGGAGGCGATTGCTTGTGAATATTATTAAATACAAGTTGGTGAGAAAGTTTCAGTTTTAGTCGCCCAAACTGTAAAGTCAAGCCCCAACAGTACCTGCGTTTTCTTCTGTCGATTCTTTTTTTAATTTTCACTTTCAATCTTTAAAATTCATGAAGCTATTAATGCGGATCCATCTATCCTTTGGACAATTTTCAACGGGGTATGTCTGTCTTTTCCATATATTATAATCCCACCTACCATCATCATGTATCAGGCACAATGTACGATCATATGTTGATATTTATGGTAATGATCAATCCATCCATGGATGTATACATATATGCATGATTTCATCTGCATATTATTCGACAATATTTAAAAACGTATTTTTTACAACTCATTTTCTACTACTTATTCTCCGAATAAAATTATATCGATATAAACACTCAATTTTTTTATTATTTTTTTTAGAATCAATTTTCTTAAAAAATCTACATCAAACATGTACTATAATTATTTTAACGGTTTCAAAAATCCTAAACTTATTGGCTTAGCATGTGCGGCGGAGTTCCATGGCCAACAATTATAGTGCCGACCCTATTTTCGAGTGTTCGATCCTATCAAATATATGGCTAAGGGAGGCTAACCCTATAAACAGGGCCATGGGGCAGAATGAGCCTACACCCTTCTGGCCTGGTTCAAATTGTAGACAGTGTCAAGCTAGGCTCGAGCTAAGTTGTTATAAGCAGGCATTTTGAGATATCTGACGATCATAAATAATTTATATGGAATGTCAGTGAAGTTCGATCATCAACCTCAAGTTTTTACTTTGATGTTTATATGCTTGTGTGTAGATCAATTTACTTATGTACGTCAATTTAACAAAATTAAATTGAGATTGTACACAAAATATACACATAATTTCGCTATGTGACATATGGTAATATCAATATTCCCACTTAATCTCATTGTTACATCCTTTGTTCAACAAAAATATTAACTCGGGGTCTTAAACATTCTAATAAATAATATTCGCCATATTTGATCAGGTACAAGTTGATCCAAGGGTCAATATGCTTCCATGAAAACCCTATATATACTTTCAATAAACATTAAATCAAGTCACTAAATTATATTTTTCATATACCTAATCTCCAATACGTATGCATAGCTAAGAGAATATTACAAAAAAAATGCTTCAATAATTGTTATAGATAGGTATTTTTGATCTCTATGTCAAACAATTTTGTGTCCCACGTGAGTGACATCTCACCAACCATGTTCATTTCAAGAGTTTTATGTGACTTTGATACTAATTAATGACTACTTAATTGTGGAATTTTTAGATGTAACCATACGAGAATGTTGTAGTTTTCGTGATGATAAAAGGAAATCTGAACCCTATTATGTGGTGATATTTACGTTAAATGAGATTCTTAGAAATACCACATATTAATGTAGTATAATTTACTCCTAATATTCTTCATTGTGATGTTCAGCCCTTGTTTGGTTCTGATAAAAAAATAAAATAATTTTTTAGTAGATTTTAATAAAAATTGATAAAACTATGGTTGAAAAATTGTGAATTCCATAAAAAGTATTATTAAAATAAATTGTGATTTTGACTTCAATTTTTATTAACATTTTTAGCTAAACCAAACAGAGGCTTAGCATATAACTTATGGTAGAAGAGGTTATATATGATCTTCCAAACTTGTTTTCCACAATACATTTTTAACACATTGAAACATGACCTCTTTTTAGCAAATGAAAAGATACCAAGGGTGTAATATTACGATTTGTCAGAAAATGTATTGAAATATTTCCTTTTATTTAAGAAGAAATTATGTGCTAACGTGTCAAAAATGTATTGAAAAACAACTAAAGGCATTTTTTTTATCGATTCTTCATATTTAATTTATTCTGTATGCCTAACCAACAGGAATATTTGTATTTATTTAGGCCTTTTTTGAGCCACATTATTTGAAAAAAATACATTTTTCAACAGTGATTTAACATCATTTCAACCATATATTATTTAATAAAATAATATTATATGTAAATCCAAAACATTTCCTAATTTTTTAACCATACATTTCTCATCAATATACTATTCAAAATTGCATTTTCATTCCAATAATATGGCGCAAACAAAGGCTTATATTCGATCTTCAATATACTCGCTATTTTGTAAGTCGGATTCATTTAAAGGCAAGATAGGCAATGTTTTATTATAAATGGATTGTAGCGAGATTTAAATGCAAATATTTTGTCTTACTCTTAAAAAATAATAATAACAATAATAGTAACGAATTTTTATTTGCATAAATTTGATCTTGAACAAATATGAGATGACGAACATGATTCACGTACTTTTACTCTCTATTCTTTGAGCATGAAATGTTGTGATATAAAAACTAGATGGTGATTCATTTAAGAATCTGACTACACATAAACTGCCCTTTCAGACAAGATATTGTCAATATTAGTACGTAAATTGTGATATTAAATATATCTTATAATACTAATCAGGTTTACTCTTAATAGACACTAAATAATTGATTCGTACTTAGGTGGCCCTTTAAGTAAACAGGAGATTCCATGTTCGGTATATCTGTCACCCTCCAACAAATTTTTTAATGCAAGTTTGCTAATTAAAAATGGTGAAATATATAATATAATATGTATTTGATCTTGAAATTGGTATTCTCTATTTAATTCCCAAGTTATCCCACCTAGCTGCCTACCTCATTGTTGCGCTTACAACTGACCAATGAATGACTATACTTCTTTCATAATTTGAACAGTAGTATAAGATTAAGGACATGTTTGTATAAAATATATAATAATGCTTATAAAAAAGCAATATATGTTCTGTTAGGGCGGAGCCAGGATTTGTGTTCAGTGCGGGCAATATTTTTCGACGCCGAACTTCGAGGATTTGGACAAAGATTTAATGATGATAAAAAAATAAAACAATATTATAGCAACACTAAAAACGACATAATTTATATATTAAACTTGTTCCTTGCAAGTTTTCATATTTTGATATCGTCGTACAATAACTTCATTATCGAACTTCAAAAATATATCTCTCTACATAAACAATAGTGCTATCATTCATCCACTGATCACCCATCCGATTGCGTAATCTATTATTTACGATGCTCATTGCAGAAAAGACTCTCTCCATAGTAGCGGTGGCAACCGGTAAAATCAATACTAAAGTCAAAAGTATGTAAACCAATCGATATACCTTATCTTTCTTTGTCAGAACTAACTTCTCCGCAAGATCACCAAGGTCATTCAACCCTTCAAACTCTTTGTTAGAGCGCATGTCAAAAATATAAGTATCAAGTTGATCGCTAAGTACAATGTCATCTACTACAGAGAAATCTAATGGATAAAGCTCAGCAAGTCTAATCAAGCTTTTCTTGTCAAAAGAAGAAAATGAATTTTGTGGGCATAAACAAGCTACACAAAGGAGTAACTCTGTATTTACCTCCGAGAAACGATCATTCAATTCTTGAAGTTGTAAATCGATGACAGAGTAGAACAAATATACTCGATAATGATGTAAATTTGTAATTTCTGGAGAATTACACTGAGGGCAACCACGAAATGCAAGGCGTACAAACATATCATCCATGTTGGGTACATGAATGTAATATTGTTGACAAAAAGAACATACTTCTTCCAAAAAGGAGTCCTACCCTTCGTCTCTCATTATTTAGAGTCGTCGTTTGCACAATCTCACCAATTGCATTGCATTCACAATATCTTGATCTTTCCTTTGCAATGCCTTTGACAGTTCATTTGACATCCCAACACACTTCTCATCAACTGTAGATTAAATGCAAAATCAAATTTTTGTATCGACTCCAATAAATTTGTTACATCAGATCTTTGATCATAAGAACAAGATTCATCTTCAACAATCATTGCAAGTACATCTAAAACAGAAGAGAACATGGCAAGCAAGTTGACCAAAGAATTATAATGTGAACTCCATCGTGTATCACCAGAGCGCTGAAGAGTCGTTTATTGATTAAGTCCCCGTCCACTTAAAATCTCACATTTTTCCAATGCCTCAACAATAAAGTCTAATTGTTTTTCTCGAAAAAGATCACAACATTTGGAAGCTGCTCCAACAGTATTTATCACGTCCCCAACCACACGAAAGAAGTTAGCAATAGGGATGATCTTCTTTGCCACAGTCACAAGCGCAAATTGGAGTTGATGAACAAAAAAGTGAATGTAAAAGGCACATGGACTCTCCTTCAAAATGAGTGTTTTTCAGACCATTAAACTTACCTTGCATATTACTTGCTCCATCATAACCTTGTCCTCTCAATCTAGACATGCTCAAGTTATATCTAGAAAATACCTTATCAATTGCAGCCTTAAGTGATAGAGCCGTGGTACTTGTAACATGTTCAATCCCTATGAAACGTTCATTGACATGCCCACTTTTGTCTACATAACGTAAAACGATAGACATTTGCTCCTTCATTGACACATCACAAGATTCGTCAACTAGAATAGGAAATAGTGAGTCACCAACATCTTTGATAATAACATTGATCGTTTCAATAGCACAATCATTTACTATATCCTTTTGACCATCAGGTGATGTCATTTTGCAATTGTAAGGAGCATTTCCCAATGTGACGGCATTAATAACTTCATTATGAGCAGCCAAAAAATTGCAATTGCACTAAGAAGTTACCTGAATTGAGAGAATCCTTAGATTCATCATGACCTCGAAATGAGTGCCCTTGTCACAAAAGAACTCGAACACAATCAATGGATGCATTAAGACGTGTAACATATGCATTTCTTGCTTGTTCTGACTGTCTGTAGAAAACTGATTGAATGTATTGCTCTTGATTTATCAACACTTCACACTTAATGCGAGATTGATTGTGTGCACTATCATGAAGTCCAACATGAGTATGAAACCTTTTTTTATCTTTCCAGTATGTAAAACCTTCGCCAACAAAAGACTCACCTCCACCTTGCTTTCCAGAATTTGTTCTGAAAAGATAACAATACAAACAATAAGTAACATCCTTCTCTACACTTTATTCCAACCAACTACCAAACTCTTTAAACCACGAAGGATTGAATCGTCTAATTGTTACTCCAAATTGTCATTTTGGAAAGTCATGATCTTGGAGCTGACAAGGACCGTTTAACATATATGCTCTTCGAACTTCATCTCGAATGTTAGCATTGTAATCCAAAATGGGTATATTCTTAGACCGGGATCAGTTGGAAGTTTTGTGACATCAAACTCCACATTATTCGATACCCCCTCATCAACACTATCTACGTTCCTTTTTCGTTGAAAGTATCCATTCATTTGATATCTGGATTTAAACATTTGATATCCAATTATTACTTAAAGTGAGTGAGGATAATTCATAATGACAAAAGGATCATAAATTCACAATTTCACATGTTCTACTACAAATTAACTCACTTTATGAATGGGACTTCTTTAAGAATTAAACAACATACCCACATCGATTTGAATCA